AATTAAGATGGGGCAGGATTGGAATTAAATCTTTTGCTACTGGCATTTTTACCTCACTAGGTGTGAACAAGGACTATTTTATGTATGTTTTATTATATGTCTTGTTTCTATAGTATATTAAAACATGCCTTGTTTACTTACAGTTTTCTGCCTTTCGTCCCCCTTTGCTGTATTTGCATTTCTTGCTTAATCTGTGCTGGCTAGCTTGAAAAAAAATGTATTTCTTGCATGTTTTTGCTTTCAAAATATTTTTTTGCATGTTCAAAATGTTAAAATTTATTTGCTATCCAAATGATGCAAAAATTATATGGATGAAAAAAAACCAGTCAGGTAGGCTCTGAGCATTTTTACCAGGCTGACTGTATTTGCAATAGGGCTCGAAAAACACAACCGGCTTTTGTGCTGGACTCTGATTTAGAGATGAGGTTGAAGGAGTTAGTTAATTAATTTGAAGGTAAACCTTTTCTCAAATAGACCGAAGGAAAGAGCAGCTCAGTCTACACATTGGGGAAGAAACCTACTTTTAAAAGAACAAGTTGTTTTTCAAGGAATAAAAGTATGTTGTCCAGTGTTACCTGTTAGGAAAAGACTCAAGAAGCCAAATGCCATTTTGATTTATGTGTGTTATGGGCAAAAATACAATTTTCTGTACACACTTTTGGTTGCATAATATTGTGCTAAAAAGCTCATAAAGTTGGTTGCTCCAGTGTTAGGTCAGATACCACCTCTCTAACATCACTAATGTTTGGATTTTGAGACCAATTTCGAAGTGAGGACACAGTGCATTAGATTGCTGCAATAGCACAGAGGCTCCTATGCTCTATATAATGAAGCATTAAAAGGCCTTTTGTGTTTTTATTTAAAAAAGCGTATTTTATATAAATTCCGTAGTGCAATAACTGCCTACACCATGTTACATTCTTTACGTTATATGCTTCCCCTGTAAACAGCTTTCCTGTATGAAATTCCTTTGCAGTTTGTGCGATACATTATTCCCCACCCCCCACCCCCCCTCCATTTGGATTAATGTGATTATTTACTCAAAAATTGTTCTGATTATTCTGTGAACGTCTTTTAAATGTGTATATTTGATGTAATAATTGAAAAGGAATTAAAACTTTGATGCAGGATTCTGCAGTTAGTATAAAATATAAAAAATAGATTGATTGCAAAGCTATCTCCCTGAACAATCTTCATTTTCCAGTGATACAAAGAGTCAGACCCCTTTCAGGTGCACAAGGGAGTAACTTCATCTTAAGACTCCTTAAGTTGTTTTGAAATTCCACAACTGTTGGAGACTGACTCCAGAACTCAAACCCAACCATCCCCTTACTGTGGTGAATGGCTAATAAGTCTGAAATGGCTTCAAAGTTTTAGAAAAACACAAAAATATACTCAGGTAATTTTGCATAATTTGCTACATAGTAATTCAGGATGAGTGGAATGATCCTGGACTGCACTTCTTCCACGTGCTGTAGTGGAATGAAAGCGAGGTCCAGTCCTGCAATTGCTCAAGTAAATGTTTGGATCGGGAATTACACATGAGCTAGGTATTCAGGAGTGGATCCTGGGTATGCAGCCAAGACTGGGAAAACCAAATGTCTAAACCTGTGCTTCTGGAAATAATATTCAGCATAGTCAAAAGTATATAATGAAATTATACCAAAAGCACTTCTAAAGCTTGATCCTTTTGCTTCCCAAGATTTCAAAAAAATACATCTGTTAATAAAGAGAATTGCATTTTCCTTTGCTTGTACCATTTCAAAATAAATGTGCTTCTCTGAAAACATTTAAAATATGGCAGTCGATAAGAGCCTGCTCTTCTCATCTGATTGATACAGTTAAAGCTCCTGTTGATTTTAATCAAGAGATTGATTCTTGCCATCCTTAGTCAGTCCCCTTTTCTGTCAGATTCCCATTGGTTTCAGGGGAAATTCATCTGCACAAGGATTGAGGCTTTGATTTCACCACTATTGAATTAGTTATTTTAAGAGGGCAGAATCAGGTTTGCATAAAGTTTAGCTCAGGAGAGCTTAAGGAATCAAATCTCTGCTCCTGCAACACGTTCCCTATGGCCGGACTCCTCCCTTTCCACCAAGTGGCACAGAGTTGAGGGGGCTTTTCCAAAGCGTAAGGGTCACCCAGGAGAAAAAGCACATGGTAGGAACACAACACAGACCTCAGTCTTGCCAGAACAACATCATTATCTTGAATGGGATTTTTTTGTGGATCCAGAGGATGGGATCAGATCCCATTTAGACTTAATTTGGTCTTCATTAGTTCACTAGGATGTAAAGGCAGATTGAACAGGTCCATGTGATTTCATAAAACTGCACATAGAAAATACAGACCAACACTTCAGGCATATAAAAATTGACTGGCATTTAGTTTTAGTCACTGAAAGTATCTAGGAAGAAGAAAATAAAAATAAATAGAGAAGATTAATGACTATAAAATACTCGAGCTAAGTTTTGGAACAGTGAGACACAACATGATTGGAAAATGTTAAGCAGAATGCCATACAAATAGGTAAAACTGAATGCAGCAACAAGTTGCAATGAACTGCAACTAAGGACAAAAAGAAAATAATTTTTATATTGAGAATTAATGACCAGACATTGTTTGGAAAAAATAATGTTATATTCCCAGTTTTTCGAATGACTGAAGAGACACCTCAATGTTATCTTGTTATGGAAGCCAGAAAACTTATGGAAATACAGAAAACTTTTTTTAAAAAAAAAACCTGCAGGATTGTGCTGTGCTCATTGTTTGGCTCAGCCACCAGAATCCATATTTCGGGGCTTTTCAAATTTGCCTCTTTTCCATGGGCCAGAAGGCTTGAGTGAGGTCTGTGGCATCAGCCCAGCCAGTTCAAGCAGAGGGCAACATTGCAACAAAAATGCTTGCTCTTTTTCATTAAATGTCTTAGGTGCCTGACTTTTACTCATTTAAGTGACAGAAAATGACACATAACTAAAAATTAACGTAGGTCCCCTATGGGAGGTAGAAGCCTGCTGTTATAAACCACATGTTGCTTGGTCTAAGGTGCTTTTAAGGCTTCCGTTCTTGCTGTCTCAGTGTCTTTGCAATGCTTGCTGTTGCAGTGCTGACCTGGAAGAAGCATTCGCTCCCTTCTGTGCACAGGGAAGTGAGAGGCCCACGCTCTGGCACCAAGCCCCTGGAGCAGCGGGGAACTGATGCTAGAGTTTCCAAACACCTCCTCAGACTTTTCACTGCTGGACCCTCTGGCTATTAGCTGTGAGGTTGGACTGCCACTCTTACAAAAACTGTTGTAAGGGAGCATCCAATTTCAGCAGAAAATCAGAGGACAGCAAAAAAAACCCTGTATTCTGTTTTCCTAAAAAAACCTCAAACAACATTTTGTAGGACATGCCTGTGTAGCAGCATCCTTTTGCTTATGGATGGGATTGATGAATTGGATAAACTTTTTATGATCTAGGGAATTACAGTGATCTATAGGCTTTGTTATAGCATAGGAAGCTGTGGTGCTGGATAAAAAAACTAATAGCTTTTTTCAGACAGTGGTTAGATGGGTGTTCTGTAATGAAGGCTTTGGTTCAGCATCTTTCTTTCACAAAGCTGGAAAATATCAGAAATATCAGAGAAACCAAAGATGCTTTGGCAGGATTGACATTTCCCTTTTTTTAAGTATAGGGGAAAGCCTATACTCTGCTTTTGGAACAGCCATGGGCATGTGGGTTGAGGCAAAGTTGGTGAGTCAGGTGATACCTTCTGTCCGTCCAAATGATTGAACTGAAAATCACAGACAATCTTCGGGGCTTGGAAGACCTGGGGCAAGTCACATGTACTTGAAGCCTGTTTTTTCAGCTATACGATTTGTGATAATAAAAGGTACTACTTCCCCCTGAAAAGCTTATCTCTTATGTCCTTACACCATAATGGCTTCAACAACCTTGCCATTACTGAGATATGGGCACTGCATGTAAAGAAAAGGGAAGGAGGGCTCAAAGATTATGTAGAAGCAAATGTTAAAGCAAGGATTTTTTTAATACCAAGTTAAAAGAAATATTCTAAGAGATTGAGAACTTTTGGATATGTCTACATAGCCATTTGGCACTATTTATTGCCACAGAAATAACTTTATGTTGATTTTTTTTTTAATTTTAAAATGGAACATTTTTTCCTTCCTTATGAAATCTTGGCAGTTTTCTATAAAATATCAAATGCTTCAAGTTCTGGTCATTAAATCTTTGCTTCTCCTCACAGGATCATTAATTAAACTGACAAATGCAATAACTAAAGTTATGCAAATAAAAAAAACACACCAAACATGATTTACAGCACAGATAAACTAAAATACTGTAGTCCTTAATTAACAGATATACCCATGAGCTTTTTAACAGAAAGCAAGATACATAAGATGCTTTAAGTAGAAGTTGCAATTTTGCAACATAAGTCTGTACAAAACCTCCAGGCAGCACGCTGTGAAGGAAGTACCTGTGTCCCAGGAAATGCTTTTTCCATGAATCCTTGTTAACAGTAGCTTTCCCCCCAGTCCCAAACTATTTACAAATATATGCATTTTGCAAGCTCAAAGCACCTTGTTTCACATCTTTATGAATGCATGCATTGACATTTCATCCTTTCATGTGCAAATTCTAAAATTCATTGTAACCAAGAAAACAAAAAAAAAGTTAAAAGAGTTCAAAATCTGTCTACAATCATAAGTGAAAGGATCAAAAATGTCAGATGTTGCAGAACACTGGCTCCTAACAGAGCGCTCTCTATTTTATTCACTGTTCTTCAGTCATTTTTTTCCCCATTTTTTTTTCAGTTTGTTACAAAAAGCAGTCTCTTTTTTTTTTTTTTAAATTAAACAGTATTTAAACTAAACAACTCTTCATGCCATGCAAAAATAACATTTTATGCACTTTTTTTTTGAGGCTTTCCATGTTTTAGTTCATAGGCATTGCTAACTGTGTTTTAAGAAAAGGTATTTTTATTGCTTTTGTAACTAGTCACATGCTAGTTTCGCGTGTGGGACAGTAACCAGTTTCTCCTGGACTTGAATGAATTTCTGGGGCAAATAAATGGTTTTCCATTTTGTGACCTTCTTGGTTACTGTCTTTCTTTACCTCACCCACAGCATGGTAAATGTCTTGGGTACAGTTGTGGCTTTTGGGTGAAGAGCTGACCTGTGGCTCCTCTGTTAAATGGTTGCCATCACTGTGTTTCTCCCCACAGCAATTTGTCTTGATATCCTGTTGCTTTTCATGTTTTATACCATGCAACTCCATAAACTCTTCTTCTTCGCCAGTGTCTATTTCAGTGAAGCTCCTCCTCTCTTTTGAAGGGAAAGTGAAAATCTTTTGTTTGGGAAAGAGAGGGGATGATTTTTTAACAGGTCCCTGACAAAGTGCTGATGCGTCAGCACCAAGTAAAGGTCGTTCACCTTGGGGTGAATTTTCTTCTAGGAGGATGGTGCTGATGTGCTGAGGGGTGGCCTGTGTGAAGTCCGCTCCTGCCGTTACTGGCAGTGGCCTTGCAGTGCTTGGTGGAGTTTGTGGAGCACCACCTCTATTGTCTTTAAAATTAACTTTAAGGGATCTAGATTTTAATGGGTTGCTACCTTTCAAGGAACTTTTGGGGCTTTCCATGGCAGTGTCTAAATGCAGATGACCATGCAAAACAGTTTGGGATCCACTGCCATCACTGATACCAGCTCTGTCAATTGGATTATAGTCAAAGGTGACATCGGTTGGGGAAAACATTCTGTCCTTTGCGAACGGTATAAACTGAGAACTCCTTACTCTTTGGTTGTCTTCCAGGTTAACAGCATCAGCTGGAAATCTCATTTGCAAGTGAGAGACAGGAAACAGAGAAAGGGGAGACCTCTCCGTTTCCGTGAAGTCGGTCGCACAACTGGCAAAACTGTCGATACTGGATGTGCTTCTCATGTCTGTTATGATGTCCGTAGGTCCAGTGGGCAACGGATCTCTCTGACCTGTAACTTCTTCCATTTCTATTTCTTCTTCATACACAGGTGGCTTTGCTGACTGGTCTTGGTAACCAGCATTAAGGTTAGGCTGAGACTGAGTTTTAGTAATTTCATTATACAACATCTCCAGTTTTTGGGCACTGAGGTGCTGCGGGCTGGAGGATGCTGCGGCGTTGTTTAATTGCTCATGGGAGTCTTGTTGACTAACTTCTTGGTATTTGTTCTCATAAGACTTGTTTGAGCTGGTTTCAGACATTGTCCTTCTGGCCCATTTCCACCGGCTTGGGGACAGGTGGTTGTCATCAGGTGTCTCCTTTGGATTGGCTACTTCTCCAGGCTTACCTGAATCTACTGCTACATCTATCATTTCCATACTGCGAGCAAAGGCATCTTTCAGGTTCATGGAGACAATACTGCCATTTCTTTTCGCTCGCTCAAGTGCTTCTCTCCTCTTAATCGCCTTCTCCTGTCTTTTCTGCTCCTTATAAAACTCTGAGAAATTGTTCACAATAATTGGTATGGGCAGAGCTATGACCAGCACTCCAGCAATACAGCAAAGTCCTCCAACTATTTTACCTAATAACGTCTTAGGATAAATGTCACCATATCCTACAGTAGTCATAGTGATTGTTGCCCACCAGAATGATGCGGGGATACTCGTAAATTTTGTAGCATCCTCATCCTTTTCAGCAAAAAATACGAGACTCGAAAATATCATTATTCCCATGGCTAAAAATAATATCAACAAGCCCAATTCATTGTAACTCCTCCTGAGCGTAAAACCTAGAGACTGAAGGCCTGTTGAATGTCTGGCAAGCTTAAGAATCCTTAGGATCCTCATAATACGGAATATCTGAACCACACGTCTGACATTTTGGAACTGCAGGACACTTTTATTGGACTCCGTGAGGAAAATGGTGACATAGTATGGCAAGATAGCCAGTAAGTCAATGACATTTAACGGGCCTTTGAAGAACTTCCACTTATTTGGTGAGGACAGAAAACGCAAAAGGTACTCCATGGTAAACCAAGCAATACACACAGCTTCAACGTGTGCTAGCTGAGGGTTGTCATTTGGCTGCCCAAATTCATCTATTTCTTGAAGCTCTGGCAGTGTGTTAAGAGACAAAGCAATAGTGGACAGTACGATGAACAGAATAGACACAATGGCCAAAATCTGTAAAACAAAATAAACAACGTTTTGGTTAGACTGATACAAGTGTATTTGTCAGGCCTTGCTTAAATCCTTTCAAATGTGCATGTGTCAAATAAACTCAGAATGGTGGAAGCTGCTTTGGCTGCTGCAGTCATTATTTTGTTTTAATGTTTGGATCTTTGCACAGAGAGAAAACATTAGAATCCTCTTAGACACAGTGAAAATGTGGTGGGTTTACTGCCTGCAGTAAGCCAATTCATTTCAGAAAGCAAGCCATGACTAGTCTTACCATTTTTAAATGACAATGGGAGGTGATATTTATTACTGCAGATTACCAAGTGAAGGATATGAAGTTCCTGCTAATGTGCAGAACATTATTAATTTTCTGCATTAAGTGTAATAATGTAAAACTTTACAGAATGCAGAGAAGTGATTGGGAAATGCCGTGTGTAAGCTCTCAATTTAGTACTGCACAGCACACACCTTCCTAGCCACGCATAAATTTATGATCCAAAAGTCAAAGTCATGAAAAATAAACAAGAAGCATTGTTCAGGAGACTAGTCCTGCCGAATTGCCGTGTCTAGACAAATTTCAGGTGCTACAAGAATTGAAGGTATTGGCCCTGAATTAGGTTGAGAGCAAGATGTTAAGAAGTAAGCAGTAGTATGAAGGTGAACCCAGTTTGTCATCATGATTAAAACGTGTAAGTAGACAAATGCTTCTTAGAAAGAATGTTTCAATTTCTGTCTCAGGCAATAGGTTTTCTGAAATATTTTGTCATTTGTTTTGATAAAGTTCAGGCACTTGCATACCTCACAGCCTTCCATTTTGCCTGGAATAGCTGGTCATTCTCATTTACAGAACCAATATTATGAGAAAAGAAATGAATCTATCAGACAGCCTAATGGTTTTACTGCAAAGTTTAGTTATTTGTACTTGAAGGAATTTGGGCAGCTTTGAGGTAGTCTGTGAAGTGTGAAAGCGATGTAAAAATTATTATAACACTCTACTTGGAAAAAATATAGTTTTGGTTAGAAGTCCTAAGTAATCCAGGTTTCTGTTAGAAATAATAAAATAAATTGTTTTCTGTTTTAAAGCTCAGTTTAAACTCATTCATAAAAGCATTTGCTCTTGTTTCTCAGAAATGGTACTGTTAAACCCATTTGGCGACGTTTAGTGTGCTTCCAAGGACACACTAAGGCTGACAAAATTGCGGTAATACCCAAGAGGAATGAAATGCGGCTAAGCAGAATGCAGGTGTGATAACTACGTGGGGAGAGATTGGTCATGGTAGTGGTAACGGCTCCAGAGATGGAAAGGCCACCTCACTCTCACTTGGAGAAAAACAGCAGTAAGGGGGTTGCAGCGAGGGGTTACTAAGCAGAAATTCAGCTCTCTAAGCACAAACTGAAATTGCTCATCGTGTGAGGGTCCATATTCAGCATCATTGCATACTTATGTGCTATCTTTGGCCTTTTTCAGCTAATAATAGTACAGAACAGGTAGCACCTTTTGTATTTTGAAATATTCCAAACAGATTAGTATCTCTCCCTACCAGAGCTACTTCTGCCTCTTTTTTTTTTTTTTCCCGTATTTATTGGAGGAATAAGATCCATTTATTTGTCCTGCCAAGGAAGTTGTGGACCACCTGCCTTCATCTTTCATACAGCCCATTCATTCAGAAAAAAAATTCTGGTTAAGCTATCCAATTTAGAAGGGCTATGCATTGCTGTAAAACAACAGCAAAAGAAGCCAATCTTCGTAAAGAATGAAGGCAATAGCACTGCGCTCTTTGGCAGGGCTGAATAATGAAATTTCTGAGGTCCTGTAGCCAGGACAGAGGCGGGCAAAAGGCAACACCATTGGAGAGCAATAACTACCTTTCAAACTGTGAAAGTTGCCTGCATCGGATTTCACCGTGAAAAAGTTTGAAGCTTAAATAAAGTATAGTAGGTTCTCCACTTCACTGAAATTACTTGTGCTCTAGTTCTCCAACACACTCAGTAACATAATTATACTTTCAGGATTCAAAGAACGAGTAAACACGGCACAGATCTGAATTGCTGAGCGTGCAGTTTCTGTCAAACTGACTGCATCCTCGTTGGGGCCGGCATCGCAATGGAAATAACAGCGTAAGAAAAAGCTGTACAATACAAGGACGCAATTACTTGACATGTGTTGTTCTTAAAAAATAAAATCATGAGAACGTATCTGCCTAATTGTCATCAAACTGGTATTAATTAGGAAATGCTGGCCTTTCAGTCTGTCATAGGGAATTTGGTTTATGCCTAAAATGTTCACCAGCATACAAAAGATCCTAGAATAGAGGTGAGTCAATGTATAGCACCGCTTCCTGCAGTGTGTGACGGTGCTAAAACTCCATGCATTATAGGTCTTGAATATAAAACTTTCCTGTTCAGAGTTGCCACCCAGAGTGTTTCACTGACAGCAGCCATCCATCTGTTTGTTCCAGCCATTCATCCATACGCTGGTAACATGCAAGCCTGAACTCTGCCAGCTATTTAAATAAAATCTACCGAATAGCAGACATGGAATCTTTAGTGTTTTATACATATCATCTATAAGCACGAGTCTGTTGTTGGTGAAAGAAAAAATTACCGCAAAAGCAAGTGTTTTGGTTTCTTCTAATGTAAGAATCTCAAGTTTTTGTTTGCCTGGGACTTTGTTGTGTAATTAAAGTTGTGCATCACTCCACACGCAGTATGTTTTAATTATTGCAACTGATTAGATTTTACAACTCATTAGGCAAAGAATGGCAGGGGATCACTAGGAAGAGCAATAGCAACTATGAGAAAAAGAAGAAAAAACAGGAACTCCCTATCTGAAGTCTACAAAAAGAACACTTTGCAGAGAGTGTTACGCTGGTAAATCCTCACAGACTAGATGTAGCTTATATTAACTGAAGCACTGAGTTTATAAGAAAGGCCTGTAGCAATCTGCTCAGCTAGTTACGCTGGTACAGAAGGGTAAATAAAACCTCTGCTGACTGAATCTTTACCAGCAAAGCTTCCTGTGCTCTGGGCATGCTTCTGGAACTGTATTCTGGTCTGAAATGCCTGGGAAATTTTGTGTACTCCAGGTGATCAGTCTGCAACCACAATTTAGCTGTGTAATTCTTGGCATACTATATTTAATCTGCATTTCAGAATATAAACAATATTCTGTTTAAATGAGAGACTCTGGCAGTTTATGTCATTTATCTATGGTTCTACAAAAACACATAAAAATCCAACTCTTATTAAACTTTAAAAATACTTCCTTATAAATTGCAAAATGCTTCTAAAAGAATGGACTTATTTAAATTCCTTTCTTATGGGCTGGATATGAGACATTTGAATCTGCTGTTGATACAATGAATAGTAAAACATTTCTTGAGTTAACGATGCAGTCTTAACAGGCTGTGCCAGACACTACTGTTTCTGATTTTTTGTGGGGGCAAGAGCTCGTAGCACTCTGAAAATGTAGTGGTTTCCTAGTATTAAATTGCCACTGAAACCTGGGATTTTTTTCCTGTGCATTCATCTCATTACTCGTTACTGCCAGCACTATGAGGATTTCTGCACAGAATGAGCATACAAACTGAGGCAGAAAAGAAAGATGTAATGGAATAGGCTTCAAATTGCTCCTTGCAGTTCTGCAGCAACTGATACTGTGAAAAGGCTCCTGACATAACTGACACGCCGGTGTTACTGTTATATAAAGCAGAGAAAAAGTATACATTAGGTTCACACTAAAGTATAGCTGCTCAGGAAAAGTTCAGCTGAGCCATATCCAACAGCCAGGGCAGCATATTTGATTAACAGAGGTTTCAATCTGTAACCAAGTAAAACTGCATTAGCAATGTTGTTTCCTTAGTTTTTGTTCCAGGCTGGGATCTAGACAATTTAAATAACAGACAGCAATATAGTCTCATTCTTTTTCAAATCTCTAGCTTCCATAGGCACTGAAATTTATCAGACTGTTACATATTCTTCTCTTTCTGCATTTAAATGTACAATATTCTCTTCAAATAAATTGCTCTGGCAGTATCTTTAGCTCTGGCTTTAGAAAAACTCAGAAAAAATAGTCATCGTTCATCTTTTGACAGACTTTGATAACAGTTCCTGGAGAACTGTATTGAGTTTCTTGGGCACTTAGCTATATATTCTCAGAAGCACCTGCTCTTGGGAAGGAGATGTCTAGATCTAGATTTGGGCAGATAGGTAGTGGGAGTTGGTCTAGGTTCTTCAGAGAAACCTGAGAGCTACCAAGTCCTGTAGCCAGCAGGCCATGCCCTATCTTGCATAAAAGTGCTCTTCGCCTGTAGCACAGAGCTCCCAGCTTGCACCCAGACAAGCCACCAACTCACAGCCACACTGGCAGAAGCAGAAGGTTTTCATTTCTTGGAGGGAGTAAGCCCGTGAAAGTGGAAGACATATTTGTAGGCCTGATGGGAAGTTTATGGAAATGAGTTTAAATCAGCATCATCTTTTACTGTCAACAGTCTTCAGGTTGTGATACTGAGTTTGCAACTGAATGGAACAAAAAGGTTTGTTCCGTAGGAGCACTGTCTTGCACATCTGCCTAAATCGGTGTGTGTCTTGTTCTTGACACCTGGGACTATCCAAATGAGATGCTCATTGAAGCAGCAAAGACAACACTACAAATGGAGCTGCCTTCCAACTATAAGCATCATCACATGAGGAATTTCAAGAATAGTCAGGACATCAGTCTGTAGATCATAGAATCATAGAATCCTTTAGGTTGGAAAAGACCTTTAAGATCATCAAGTCCAACACCACTAAACCATGTCCCTAAGCACCTCATCTGCCTGTCTTTTAAATGCCTCCAGGGATGGGGTCTCAACCACTTCCCAGGGTAGCCCGTTCCTATGCTTGACAGCCCTTCCAGTGAAAAAAATTTTCCTAATGTCCAACCTAAACCTCCCCTGGTGCCACTTGAGGCCATTTCCTCTCATCCTATCACCCGTTACCAGGGAGAAGAGACCGACACCCACCTC